CCTCTGATCACTGCTTTTGCTGTGTCCCAAAGATTTTGGTATGTTGTGTTTTCATTCTCATTTGATTCAAGGAATTTTCGCATTTTAATTTTGATTTCTTCTCTTACCCAGTCTTTCTCAAGGAGGGTGTTGTTCAGTATCCATGTTGCTTGAACAGTTTCTCTTAGAAAGATCAGCACAAGGCCGGTCCCCATGAGGCGGAGGTCGAAGGTGTCCCAAATGTCCAAACTACCATGCCACTCCATCATTTCAGACATTAACTCCTCCTCCTCCTCCCAGTAATTTCCCAGTCTTAGGGTTCTGTATTTTGCTGTAACGCCTCACAGAACTCACAGACACCCAGGGGTTCATCTCACGTAGTAGTGGTGGAGGCTGGCAGGCCAGCGAGTCCCGGGTCCATGAGTAGGTCTGGAGGATCCTCCCAACTCTCGGGGTTTGATGAACCTCAATCAGCAGGTCAGATGACGGCTGCTGTCCCAGATCCAGGGGTGAGATGAGGATGATCCAAGACACAAAGCCGGAGCAAAAGGACAGCGAATCTTCCCAGGAGATTCGTAGGTATACCCTCAGGGAAGCTAAGGGTGGTGATTTGAATTATACCCTCCAGCAAGGCATGACTCAAGATACATTCCACCTGTGTTGCCCCAACAGAATTAACCTAAATCCCATCACAGAGTGGATTGCCAGTCATTATAGGGAATGACTACTATCAGCTGCCCAGCCAAGTTGATACCTGACCTTAACTACCACACCCCCCCAAATAGGCATGGATAGGAGATTTACAAAACATCACAGAATGGAGAACAGTGGCTAGAAGGGCCACATCAAGTAATTCACTGCACATGTGTTTACTCTTTTCCTGTTGACCTTCCTATTATTGATTTCTAATTTGATAGCATTATGATCTGAGAAGATGCTTTGCACTTTTTTGATGTTTTTAAATTTATTAAGGCTTTATGGCATAACATATGGTCTATCATAGAAAAAGTTCCATGTGCACTGGAGAAGAATGTATATTGTGCTGCTGTTGGGTGAAATGTTCTGTAGATGTCTATAAGGCCAAGTTGGTGGATTGTGTTGTTTAGCTCTTCTGCATCTTT